GATGGATGGATGTCATACACATCATGTGACTTTTAACAGCTCCAAGGTTTTGGAAGCAAACACCAAAACAGGCCTGTCAATGCAGCATACACACAAGCTTGGAGGTGATGGAAAATTAACTTCTGAATACAATCAACCTACAGCGTTACTATACTCTTCATCAATATGTTTAGCAGTAGCCTCCATAAGCCTAGTGTTCTTGTGCACATGCCATTTAAAAGACTGACTGGCCAAGTGTGACTCCGTTTTACGTGACGCAAACTCACCACCGACATTTCCTTTATAGCTGTTGTAAATCTCTTTTAGCCGACGGTAGCGAAAGGCCAGTTTGCGCATCCATTCTACTCCTCCCTGGACGCCTGTGGTGGCTCCTGATGTCCCTCCACCACTGGGGCCAGTAAAGCCATCGGCCAAGAAGTTGTAGTTACTAAAGAAGGGAGATACACTTTTGATTGGTTTGCTTCAAAATTGCGAAGAAAACAGATGCCAGGACAGCATGTAACACACCTCAGGTCCTGTCCATTGTCATCAGAAGCCACGTCCTCCACATGGACTTGATCACATTCCTTCAGCAGAAAAAAGAAGAGAGCTGCTTGTTACAAACTATTTAACTATGCATATCAACTCCAAATTCCATTTATTTTTACACTGTAGATGCACATCACCCAAAGAGTCTCTGCACACATTTCAGGTTCAAATAAGACAACTATCAGACTTCACATGTCAAAATACACACAGGGTTGCATGTGGGCAGAAAATACAGATGTACTGTACACGGGAAAGTTAATGGAACAATAGGACTGAGGTTGGGGAAAAAACATTTACAGCAGCAGTAACATAATTCAAGTGACTGGTTATCAAAGTAGAAACCAGTCACAGCACAGAGAGAGAGAAAAGAAAGATTAGCTTCCTGTCTGCCTCCCAAATCAAAGGGACACTTGTCCAAAGAAAGGAAACCTGCCAAACAAAGCCAAAACTTGTTTTCACTTGTACAAAGATTACAGGATCCATATCCAGTGACTGTATGCACCTTTAGTAAGGAAAATGGGTTTTTGACTGTATGCACCTTTAGTAAGGAAAACAGGTTTTACTCCCAGGTCCTGTCCATTGTCATCAGAAGCCACGTCCTCCACATGGACTTGATCACATTCCTTCAGCAGAAAAAAAAAGAGAGCTGCTTGTTACAAACTATTTAACTATGCATATCAACTCCAAATTCCATTTATTTTTACACTGTAGATGCACATCACCCAAAGAGTCTCTGCACACATTTCAGGTTCAAATAAGACAACTATCAGACTTCACATGTCAAAATACACACAGGGTTGCATGTGGGCAGAAAATACAGATGTACTGTACACGGGAAAGTTAATGGAACAATAGGACTGAGGTTGGGGAAAAAACATTTACAGCAGCAGTAACATAATTCAAGTGACTGGTTATCAAAGTAGAAACCAGTCACAGCACAGAGAGAGAGAAAAGAAAGATTAGCTTCCTGTCTGCCTCCCAAATCAAAGGGACACTTGTCCAAAGGAAGGAAACCTGCCAAACAAAGCCAAAACTTGTTTTCACTTGTACAGAGATTACAGGATCCATATCCAGTGACTGTATGCACCTTTAGTAAGGAAAATGGGTTTTACTCAGACTGGGAAATAACATAGTGTGAGTTTATAAACAAGTTTGTCTGTTGAATGCACATAAGTTTTTTTATGAATGTAGTTTTACTGGTTTTAGCTGACAGACCTTTGTGTCTCTTCCCTTTTCAGAAGAACTACTTTACATATGAATTTGTCCAGAACTCACTACAGGGTTTCCCATACACCAACTTTGGTGGCACGCCCAAGTAAAGTCAGTAGATGAATACATCTCCATGTACCTCCAGGTCATTGAAGAAAAGGTGAGTGTCTGCCAACTCAAAGATCAGCTCCTCCATCTGCAGGCCCAGGTTCAGCACCATTGCTGGATCCTGTACAAGCATGATAGGATTGACAAAAAAAAACAATAAGACAATAAATCATGTCACATTTTTTATTTTATATTCAAACGTATTTGCTTATTTAGAAAAACAAACCTTGCCAAACTTCTGTGCGTAGGAGCCAGTGAGCAGTGAGTGGAATATAATAATGGTCTCATCCAAATCCCACAGAAAAATGCGCTAAAACAGAACAGTAATATTACTCTTTGCATTGAAATTTTTCCCCCTTCATTAGTTTTCTAAATCTAAATATTTTCACATTGTTATACAACAGCAGCACTGCCATTATATTTCTAAATGAAGACCTGCACGCCTGCTCAGTGTTGAAACAGACGCCTTCTTTGTAATTATCTTTGGACTGGCACAAAGGTTTGTTGAACCAACCAAACTCAGTGTGTTAGATTTACCACCACAGTTAAGTTAATCCCCTACATGTTAAGTGCATGGCTACCTCCAGGTCGCTGTCAGTAGGTAGGGAGTTGTCAGACTTCTTGCCCTTCCCTTTGGCTTTGCCAACAGAATTCCTGCGTCCAGCCTCATCCTGCTCTCTGGCTCCAGCTGGGAGAGCTACACCTGCTGGGAGGTCTTCTGGTGGCGATGCATCTTAATACAGGACAAAGTACAAATGTCTGATGTTAGACCTTATTAAATGGGTTCCATTGTTTCTCAGACTTGTACTAAGGTCACATAGAGTGAACGCTGATGAACGCTGTGGTGACAAATAATTCAAATGAATACAGATGAAAACAATACGAGTACATGGCGTTTTTGAAATAGCTATCATAATGTGATCTAATGTTGAACAGAAATCATCTAAACCTAAGCACTGAACTCACCTCCGGGAGGACGTCCAGCTGAGGCAGCCTGCTCTGACTTCACAGCTGAATATCCGGCCACTCCCACACCATGCTCGTCACTGCTGGGCAGTCCAGCAGGCATGAAGCTGGGAGGCAGAGTGTAGTACTGAGAAAACGTACTCTGTCCCAGAGAGTTGTAGCTGCTAAATTCCTACAAAAATTAGAAAGGAGCACAGTTCTGAAGAACAGTGGAAAAGTCTCTCGCAGGACTGTGTAGCAAACATTATACACACATATTGAAGAACAAAAGAGGGAAATAATGTTTACTGACCAAGCATTTCTCACATTCATCATTAATGTAATATATGCAGGTTCTGTGTGAACAAGTCTAGCCCACCCCAACCCCATGCACCTCAAAAACATAAACACAGATTTGGTTATCCTTTGTCTTTAATACACTAGTATGCTGTGTACATATTGGCAATGTTTATCATACTCTTTTATGTTTTCCTGCATAAAGATGGATCTATTCCCATGAAGACTCTACAGTATAGGCATCTGACAAAATATGCATAATTCTCCTGCCATTTCTCACAGAACTGCACTCCTTACCTGGTGGCCCACTGTGGTGGAGGCTGTAGTGACTGCCGTAGCTGAAGGTATGTTTGAGTAGACACTGGATGTTGTGAAGCTCGAGCCTGGAGACAAAGAACTCAAGTAAAACAAAACAGTGCCAGAAGAAAAAAAAAACTGAATATGTACACAGTGTCTGAAGTGAAAAGAAAAAGGAGCCGTGCCACTGCAAGTTATTTTTGAGTACATGAGGTATTTGCATAGAGTGTCAGAGCATTATCAGAGTGAGGCGACAGCTTGCCTTGGCTGGGGTATGAGTAGTGCAGCTGGCTTGGCTGGGTTGAGGTATATGCGGAGCTGAAGCTGAGAAATCCAGGCTGACCACCAGAGGGTGCCTCAGGCAGCCCTGTCTCTGTTTTTATGCCTGGCCACATGGCTCCTGAAGAAAGAAAGCAGTGGGAGCGGAAAATGAAAGAGGCAGCAAGAGGAGTGGGTTACTGAAGACAGGGCAAAGCTCAGAAGCCAGGTTTTTCAGTCAGCCTTGTGTGTTTAAGAAGAGATCAGATGCAAATCGGCTCCACAGCACCAAAGCATAGTAAGGCATCTGAAGCAGAGTAACAAAGGTGCGATGCAGAGAGTGTTAAAATAGGTTGTTACAGAACAAACCGAAGGGCGGGAGACCGTAGGTCTGGCCTGTCTGGGGGAAGGCTGAGTACACAGTGGACTGGGCCAGTGGAGGAAAGGCCACCTGGCTAGTGAACGACGTCACTGCTGGGCTGAAAGAGAAAGAGAGCATGAGAGTTTGTAAATGCAGGTGCACACAAGTTTCAGCACACAGAGGAGTGTTTAAGTCCCATTTTCATAATTAATACCAAACTGCATGGTTCTTTGCAAGAAACTTCCAAAAAATATCATATGCAGTAGTTGATGTGTAAATTAAAGCGTTACCCTGTTGGCTACTGTCAGTCTTCAGCAGTACTTTATTACAATGATGCATTGTACTTGGGAGTATTTTTAATCTCAACAGATCACTGAATGGGTCTAGATGCTTTGTCAGACATCTCCAACACAGTAGAGCATGAAAACTAGATCACAGCTGCATTGGTGCAACCAATCAAAAACTGTGCAGGCTTTGACCTGCGTGTGTGAGTAGAACAGTTCTGGAGCTCTGCAGTATCTGTCACATTTTACATAGTTAAATCTACATAACATTATATGATAAATGATAAGACACTGACATTTGTTCCATGCTGTGTACTCACTTGCTTCCTTGATAGACCTGATGGGTGTATTCAGATGTGACTGTTGCGTCTGTCACTGTAAAAGAAACAGACAACATGACTTCAGTTTCACATAGAGCGGCCTTCACAACTGAATGTACTATCTGTTGCTTTGAACTGAGACAGTGTTTCTATTCGTACCAGAATGAGCATATGAGTTCATTGACTCGCCACATGCTTGAGGTGCTGATACTCTGTCTGCATCTGACTGCTCCTGATTACCTATGATAAAAACACAAAGTGTCAATATTTTACAGGAACATTTCTGAGTGCTGTCAGCCTTTTGCACAGTTTCTACTTACTGGGATCAAGCTGGGTGGTGGACAAAACAGAATAAGAGTTGTCCTGCTCCGATGACCCTAAAACCACAGCTGGACTTCCATCATCACCCAAATTTCTTAAAAACAACAAAAAAGACAATTATTAATATGGAGTTTCTGCAGCTGGCCTGCACTCATCTAAAAACTAGAACTAAGAAAGTTACATTTGATGAAAAGGAAAAGACAAACATACAACATCAAACCACTGTGTAACAGTTTTAGATGTCTGTTAAAAATTACTTATTGTCCATCAGACAATGTAAGCATCAATTTAAAAAAACCCAAAATATCTGAAATAAATATAAAATCAATGATAACCAACCCCGGCTCTTTCTCCAGTCCATTATCTATCTCAAGCTTGGGCTTCTTTGCCTGCACACAAAAAAAGGAGTTTTATAAAAAAAAAAATGCTGTCACCATAATTCTATTTTCTCTGCTGCTTCTGCACTAACCAGTAAAGTCAGATGCATATAAAAACACTAGTTTAAGTGTCATGGATTCTGCAGTGGCAACGTTTTCTTTGCTGTCAAAAGTCTAAGTTTAACATGATCTATTACAAAAAGTTTAATGCTAATGTTCTGCACAAATGAACTGTCAGAAACACACAGACTGTAAAACATGAAACAAAAATTACTGAAGTACTATGTTCAAACTCGGGGCTTTCCCTGGTATTCTTCATGGATTATTTTACAAATCAGTGATAGAGCACAGTGTATTTGATCAGCAGCATTGAAACAATATTAATCAGTATATCAACAACACATTGTGTATACTCACAGCAATTAATACTACAGTGCACAGAGTATAAGCAGAAAAAGATGAAGCAGAAAGAGATGAAACCAGAAATTTCAAAGGTTTGAATGATCTGGTGCGCTATAAATTACTATGAAATACTGCATCTTTTTTGTCCCTTTAATGCTTTAGTTTTCAAATGAATAATTCATTTATTTTTCAAATTCTAAATAATAGCAATTTGAAGCTTTGTATAATTTGTTTCAGTTAATCAACAATTTGTTTAGTCTACACAAGCTGACAAAAGCCTTTCACAAATTCGGAAAGCTGACGATCAGTCACATACAAGGGCAATCAATTTATAATAGCGTTAAACTGAGAAAAATAGCTAATTCTCACATTAGAGAAGAAAGAACTGGCAGCTATTTATTATTCTCATGTGTTAAATAAGAACAATTATAAAAACAATCATTGATGACTTTTCCATAAGTTAATAGCTCGTTTTCCTAATTTCAGTTTATCCTTCACCTGAAAATTATCTTTGTTTACTATAATTAAAAGCTACAACAGCCTGAATATGAGATTAGAAATGTAATTTCATGATACAATAAAAGGACCCACTGTACATTTAACTGACTTAAAATTATTCATTTTTCTCAAATGCAGTGTAACAGACAACAACGCATAGTTCAAACAAAGTTGTACATAGTTATTTTTTCAGAACACCCCCATCCCCCACTCTATGTTGCCGTCACTGTGTGTGGACTCACCGGCAGTTCAGGCAGCTCCTGCGAGTCATCCATCTCTGCAGCAGAGCGACCCGACATATCTGCACACTCAGCCTACTCTCTGCACCTGGAAAGCCTGTCCGGACCCTGCCTTATACAACCGCAGCGGCAAAAAACACACAGACATAGAAGAAATGGGCAGAGGTTATACCTTATGTACTTTTCTGATGAGTGACTCTCCCCTCCCATTGTCCCATAAATGCTCATTGATGCCACTATCGCAGGGGTAATCAGCAGGGGGGGGGTTGCAGCAATGTAAGAAGTGGGGCACCCTGGTCTAATCTTCAGCACGAGACCTGCAGGTGAGGCACGTGTGGCATTGATGTTGTCCTGTGTTCCCATTAGTTTGTGTTTACTGTGGGATTAAGGAAGCGTGCCACCTTACATGTGACCTAACCTACATTCAACAAAAGCATATTCTCCAGGAGCATTAGGTGTTCAGATGCAAGCTGTTGTAGCAATAGATGCCCTGGGGGATAAGAGCTAACCTCGATTTGTCCATTGTTCGTTCGACTGGCCTTTCTGTACAGTTGGAAGGATGGAACATCTAAAGTATCTAACTGACAATGTAGTCACAGAGAAAGAAAATGGGTCAGATGGCAAATTCAAAAATGCATAAATGTGTCTGGCAGTTAATGCTGCACAAGTGAATTTTAAAAGCATGCCACCTGAATTGGCTGAGCAATTGAAACCTATGTCAGCTTATAGTTTAAAAGCATGCCACCTGAATTGGCTGGGCAATTGAAACCTATGTCAGCTTATAATAGATTTAGGTAAGTGAACCCAAAAAAGTATTACATTTTAAGGAAATCAAGGCCACAACAAATTAACCTACAAACTTACTGTATATCTGTATAATGCCAATTAGCTGTAATATCCAAAACCTTTAACAAAAAGAACCACAGCTACACTCATGTACTGCTGTTGCTTCATTTTTCTGGCTGACTTGACAGACTTGAATTCATCAAAGCCACTGTCCCACCAGCTGCTGCCACCAGTCACTGAGTTGCTTGGAGTCTCCTCTCCTCTGTCAGCATCACAACACTCGAGCTGAATCAAGCCACCTGAGGAACACCGTCGACCTGAAACTGGATTCTTTGGGAGTCTCTGCTTCAAGAGATGTTGTCTTTTACAAAAGGATGGAATGTCAAAGATACGGGACACCACAGACCTGGGAAAATCAGTTAAGCTGTGGCCTTGGGTGCTAAACTAAACACCTAATATTGAGCTAGATTCACATTTACTCAGCAAAAAAAATCCAGAGAGTATGCAGTAATTTCCTAAAGTATTTCCTGGACCTATTTAAATGTATTTATTTTGTTACTGATGATAAGGAACATAATGATTCTGAGACAGGGGTTCGGCTTTATAAGACACTGAAGAGTTACTTCCTTATAATAACAGATCTTAACAAAAGAGACCCAGCCAAAATAATTATTCTAGACCTGAAATGATTAGCGAATTAATTAATCAGTTACTTAGATGACAAAATTAGCAACAATTTTAATAATCAATTATTTCAGTTATTTTCTTAAGCAAACCATTTTCTGATTCCTGCTTATCAAATGTGAGGATTTTTCTTTGTGGTCACTAGTTTCTTAATTAACTGATTAACTATTTAGTTGAAAAAGTGCCTGAAAATGGGTGGGGAAGGGGGGGGTCCAAGAGCCAAATGTGACATCCTCAAATGTCTTCTTGTTTTTTCCCTGACAAACAGGCCAAAGGTTATTTATTAATCTAACTATAATAAAAAGCAAAGGAAAGCATAAAAAATTCACATTTTAGAAGCTATAACCAGAGAACATTGATATTCATCTTTATAAAAATAACTCAAAATGGTTGATTGTGATTAATTGCTGCAATTCTAAAGTTATATCAAACCACAGACTTTTGCAGAAACTTTCCTTTGAACTTAGTGTCATACAGTAAAAATATTAGTCTTTTTATAAACAGCACATGTTGCTGTCTGCCTATAGTTTGTAGCAGCGTTCACTTTATGCTGATGGACAAAACTGCACCTGAGGAGTGACTGGTGATCAATAAGTATTCTCAGCAGCTCTGACTGATCTGCAAATAAGCACAGCTTGGCAGAAACCTTGGCAGTGCACCAACACAAGATACAGCTCCTACCCATGTCATCTCCAAATGTTAGCCGACAAACATTAGGTTAGCTGCACCTAGCCAAAGACTGTGCTGTAACGGTGAAGAATCAGACTATTTCCTGAAAAGCAGAAGCTCGTTTACCTTCAATCTAAACGCAGAAACACAACTTAAATGTGAACACACGGGGCTAGATATCGATAACTAACACTAACTGGTAAATTTAATATGAGCAACTAAGTAATAACAGAGTATTAAAGTGTAGGTTAACCGTTATTACAGCAGCAAGTAGTAAGCTTCCTAATTTCAACGTTAGCTTGCCGATATTAGTAGACATTATAATAATAGATTTTTGCATGCTTTAGCAACAATACTTATAGAAAAAACTTCAGCATTCACTTTTGTGTGAACTAGCCAACTAATCCTGGTATAGTGGCTGCTACATAACTAACTGTACTTAGTTTTGTCCAGGCGTGAAACTTTTCAGATCCAGAGATTAGTCGTGACCAGCAGCCATTGGATTGGGAACTGAAATGGCAGCGTGTGAAAACATCTCTCTCCCGCTGCTCCTAACTGCAAAGGTAATAGCAAAACGTACACTACTAACACAACAAAATGAACAAAAATATACTTACCATTGAAGGAGTAACTGAGAAACGCTTTTATTTAAGCATCTTCAGTTGAATCCACAGTATCAAGCTTTGTCTGTTGTTAGGGACCACTATTTGGCAGGAAGTTTCGTCGACGGATCGACTGCGCATGTGCAAAATGTTGATTGACAGGCATCACCAACTGTGGCGCGGCGGAAGGTGACAGGTGTGGCATCAACATTTTCAATAAAGCTTTTTTTTTTAAGAAAAGGTGTAGCTTCAGCACAGGTGAGAGAAAACACCTCTAACATTTATTTATTAGGTGAATGCCATTGATAAATGTTATCAGCTTTCTCTCAGAGTGCCTTACTTTTAATAAATGTAATGTCAAACCTATTTATTAGTTTTGTTAATTTTAAGATAGTTGAGTTTACGCTCGCTTTTAATTTCTACCTGTAGAACTTACTGTTAAAATAAATTCATTCCTCTTCGGGGGCACATAAAAAAACCCAATTTAAGTATCATTTTGCGCTTTATGTCTTGTAGCACCACGCTGTATTGTTACTGAGTCGACTATGGACGAGGTTCTTCGGACATGATAAGCTATAACGTTAAATGTACATACAATAGTATGTACATTTTTGCACTAGCTGTGTTTTACACTGCGGTCAAATCAGCCGCCGTTCAGTTTTCCGTGGTCAAGCCACTTGGAAGTTCATAATTAATCCAGCATTGGAGTCACATCTTTAATGTGAGTTTTCTCCAGAATGGTCCAGTAGAAATGCTTGATTATTTGTGTGGTAACAGTGCGGGTCATGTAGAACCCATAAATGATGTCCTTATGCTGCAAATATTAAGAACAGTGTTTTTATTAAGCTTGAAAGTTCATAATTAATCCAGCAATGGAGTTGAGGTATTTTATTTTGAAAATCGTGAGCTTTGGCCCGTTTCAATACCTTTACCGTAAATATGAGTATATAGAGTATATAGGCGCACTTCAAATTCTAGCGCGGCTGGCTTGACCACGGAAAACTGAACGGCGGCTGATTTGACCGCAGTGTAAAACACAGCTAGTGCAAAAATTTATATTCCTGTAGAGTACACTTTTATAAGCTCCGTAACTTCCAAATTCTTCCCCATTCCTTTTAGACTCTATCCTTAAACGAAATATAAAACACACCGTAAGTATCTTCCATGAAGTAAACGTAATTTTACATTAGAAATAATGGGAATAAGATAGAAAAAAGCAAGAATTATATAGATGACGTATTTAAATAATTGATCATGTGTGCGGCAGATTGACTGTTAAAAGGAAAATACTGTAGTTGTGCTGGATAATAAAGGCCAATATTACAATTTTTTGTAAAGTAGTAGGTTAAGTCAGTATTTAAAAGTAGCATCAATAACAAAAATCATGACACTTGCATCCAATTTAGAGATTTTATTGGTCATTTCTGACAGATTGCAGTTCAGTATTTCAGTTGATCAAGTAAATGATCTTTATACAGTAGCAGTGGCATGAAAATAAATATACAAAACATAAGTGTAATGCTTCCAAATATGGAAGAAAGTCATCCAGAACTGTGTCGTCTTATTTTATATTATTTTCAGCAGGCTTGAAAATGCACGTATGCAATGGTCCAGATGATCCTCTTTTAGTAATTTAATTAATATCAGAGCATAAGTTACAATTTACACATCTACAATTTACACATCTACTTAAAGTGATAAAAAAAATTTTTTTTGCACTTTCTAGAACCATATTATGCAGTAGGCCAGTGGCTAAATACTGTTATGGGAAAGCCAGTGCCTGTTCCACCCATTGGTTCTTCATCAAGATAATCAAGCACTTTTTCCCCATACAGATTATTTTCTAGAAAAGGGACCAATAAGTTTAGGGAAGAGAGAAATGTACATAGAGTAGCCTATACAAGGATCAGGCCACCGTGGACAGGCACAATACATTCACAGTTCTTCTCTAATTCCTAGATTCTAGAGTTTTTGCAAAAAACAGCAATCAATTCAACTGAAATGAAGCTTGATATACAGTATGTGCTATCATTGATGTGGGCCAGTTATTGCTGGTTGAAATCCATATCACACCCTCCTGATTAATAAAAGAAGTCTTTTGTAAAGTTTGGAAACAGCAGATTAACACAGTCACTAGATGAAAAGTAGTTGGAAAAACAAAAGACTAGCATATTGCCATACAGGAAACATTTAGAAGTCATTTATAATATATGCAGAACTTACTTAAAAGTAAACAGTGAATGTTTATGGTTATTAAATAAAATGTCTTTTTTTCTTCTATACAGTACAGTAAATCTTTGTTTATGAGGACAAACGGGTCAAAAGTCTAGTATCAAAGCATAGCATGGTTAACTGTTTGGTCCAAGTTCCAATAGTAGTATGCAATGCCTATATACTGTATTTGTCCTAAGCAGAGATGTGAAATAAAAAGTAGAAAGATGTCAACTGTCTAATCTGAAGTTGTTGGAGCTTGAAACAGAATATTTAACTTTCTTGACCCTTGTTTCCTCAAGTGCAATTGCGCATCTTCAAGAAAATAGTACAACAAAACGTCTTTAACATACAGTATGTCCACATTTAATGAAGGCATCACCTTATGTCCAAATAAATGAAATGATTTTGTGGTGTTTGAAGCTGCTGCCACCGTCCCAACTGCCTTTTGAACCTTAGGCACTTCTCTTCATGTCACTTCATCAATAGCTGTAAGGTCCAGAGCCACCATGTTTTATGACCCCAAAGTGCATCCATACTTGGCACACACGTTATATTTTTGCGTGATTGAGGCAGAACAGTAGGGCCAGTGGTGTTGTAACGAGAGTCTCTATCTGTACACTAGTCATGCACCAGATCCCTCGAGATCTGCCCTGTTATTCCTGTCTATTTGTCATGTAGATCCTCATATCAGGCCTTAGCTGTAACCTGTCCTCCCAGACAGGTTGCTCTGTTGTGGTCCCTCTGTCAAGATAAGATTCTCAAACCAGAACATTTGTCCTGTCTTGTTCATTCTTGGAACAGAAGTGATGCTGGCCTTCACATGAAGGTGTAGTCTGCTGGAGGCCCGTAAGAGAAGCCTGGGAAGGCTTCAGCTGCTTCTTTGACGCTGCTGGTCACAGTCAGGGTGTCAGTGCACAGGGAGGAGGACACAGGCAGGTGAGTGAACTCAGGGTCGAAATGTTGCAGGTCTGTGGGACCACTCTGAAATCCAGAAGAAAGAAAGATTAAACATTTAATCTGAGGGGGGAAAAATACCAAGACACTAACAGTTATTTATTCTTAGCATTCTGATAATTGATTCATTGTTTATTTGTCAAGCAAACATTTGCTGGTTCTAGCATCTCAAACATTAATATTTTCTGGTTTTTATCTGTCTTCACTGATAGTAAATTTAATGTCCTTGGGTTTGGACTGTTGATCAGATGAAAAGACATTTTGAAGAGGTCACCCTGGGTTCTGAGAACTTGCAATTTGCCATTTGCACTATTAGAAGGCATTTTATATACCAAACAACGAATAATTAATTGTGAGGGTAATTAAAAGATTAACTGATAATAAAAGTAATTGTTACTTGTAGCCCTATATGATAGATTGTGGATGTGAGGAAACAAACAGTTTAAAGCTGTCACATGGGTAATTTTTCAGTCTTTTTTGATATAGAGACAATGATTAATAATAAAACTGATTACATACCACTGAGGGAACAAATAGGGGTGTGATCTTCTTGGCCATCAGGTCATCCCAGTTAATTGGACAGAAGAAGGGATGGTACTTGAGTTCAAGCTGGAGGGAAAAAGAAATGCTAGATGAGCAGTCTGATTGCAAACAAGCCTTACTGAGCTCTTACAGTTCTATTACATGCTGTAAGAGTCAGCTATGTGCACTTACAAAGTCATCTTTCGCTCCCAGCCTCTTGGTGCGGTCCTTCTGCAGGAGCCCCTCCAGCAGTTCCCTGCCTGCATTTGACACATTGGGCTTGAGCACAGGAGCTTTGTGCATAATGTTGTTGTACATCTCAGCTGTGTTGCGACTGTAGAATGGGGGCTGTTCAAGAAAAAGCGATGAGAACAAACAGAGATTATTTGGTGTACAGACAAATAGAGAGAACAAACAATTTAGAGATATAAAGTCACTGATCACACTTACAAGTCCGTAGAGCATCTCGTAGAGTACTGATCCCAGGCACCACCAGTCGACAGTGCGGTCATATGCCTGCTTCTGAAGAACCTCGGGGGCCAAGTACTGTGAGCAAAGCAACAAGAAAAAAAAGTCAACCCATGTCTGACATATCATTTGTCTTCAGGGGAGATTCTGCAAACATCCTGAGGATGTGTAAAAGTTGAGAGATTAGGTTTGTACCTCAGGTGTCCCACAGAAGGTTGTTGTGGTACCACTGGGCTCAAGGCCTTCTTTGCAGAGGCCAAAGTCTGTCAGAACAATATGGCCCTGTGAATCTAACAGGATGTTCTCAGGCTTCAGGTCCCTGTAATAAAGGAGAAGAAAGGATGATTCAAAAAGCCTCAACGCGAATATGCTCTTTCTATATATAAAACCCTGATCATCCACTAGGGGGAGGTGCAGGCTCACCACTTACCTGTACACAATGTGCAGGGAATGGAGGTAGCCAAGTGCACTTGCAATTTCAGCAGCGTAAAACCTGGCTCTGGGCTCCAAGAAGATTCTCTCTCTCTGGAGATGGTAGAACAGCTGGAGAGAGAAAAACAACAACAACAACAAAAAAAAAAAGACACGTCAGCGTCCTCACTTCAAACAGATTTCGAAGCTCTGACCTGATTCTGGTCTCTGGCTGATTTCTGGGTATTGTGAGGTTTTAACTTACCTCTCCACCATTGACGTAGTCCAGCACAAAGTACAGTTTGTCGGTAGTCTGGAAGGAGTAGTGCAGCCCCACGAGGAAAGGATGCTTGATGTTCTTCATCAACACACTACGTTCAGCCATGATATGCTTTTGCTGGGGGAGGGGAGAGTTAAAAAACAAGTTACACCCTATATTCCTCATGGAAGCATTTAACATTATGCACCAGAAGGAAATTACATTTAGGTGCATGTCTGGTGATTAATCATGATGTCTGGCATTTAATTTTAGTTAAAGATGCCATGAAAACTAAGGGGCTTACCTCTTTCTTTTTCAGGATGATTTTCTTCTGCAAAACTTTAACAGCATAGTACTTTGTGGACTCTTTGTGCCGAGCCAGCAGAACCTGTTATAGAGCAAAATGGTGTTACAGTGATGACAGATATAAGCAAGTAAGAGAAGGTAGTTTAAAGTAAGTTAGATAGAAAGATACACACCTTTCCAAAGCTGCCTTTGCCAATGATTTTGAGGTAGATAAAATCAGAAGGTTTAATCCTAATGTGAAGAAACAGAGAAAATTGGGGTTTTAGCTGTGTACTTCTTAGCAAAGATGTAGTTGTCAGTGTTTAAATGAAGAAAAATGTTAAGTCTACTTACTGAGTGTCCTCAGCCAGTGAACTTCGTGAGTTTAGGCACATCTGAAAGATATGAAGAAATTCATAAATACCTTATTTTGGAAACAAAATGAGTCAAATACTCAGGCAACAGTTTCTGCTTACCGGACTTTCAGGAAGTTGACGATTTTCAGCCTCCTCATATTGATTCTCATCAATCTTCAGGAAGTTGTTAACTTCAACACTAGAAAAAAACAGAGAACATGGAGTTATATTTTAATACAAGATGTTACCCTTTTACACTATGGTCAGTGTTAATGTTTTTCAAGATGTAATGTTTCAGTGTTGATGATTACATTTTCATTTTCTTAATCTGAAGCAGTTTGTGAGACTGAACAGCTGAATGACTGCTTCCTGCTGGGGTGTAAATGATCACTGGAAACTTCTGGTCAGGTCAAGTTTAATACAAACTCCTCAGTGTATCACTGCCTAACCTCTCTGAGAAAAATCATAAGCCAGTGACCCACAACAAGAGGGTTCAGACAGCTCTGCAGGACCCAGTGGTCCAGCTCAGGTCCCCTGTTCTTCCCAGAGCATCTAGAACAGATACATTGCCTGGGTATTCTTCCACAGGACCAGACCCTGACCTGGAGCGCTGGCCTGGGAGTGCAGAAAAGCACGAGCGTATGCATCATGTCATAATTGAAATACTGGGTTATCCTCATGGGGCATAAGGGATTTGCTGGAAAGGTGATTAGGCACTGGAGAGGTTGTTAACAGGCTTATTCTGAAAGGACTATTCTTACTCTGCTTCTTGGACCCAGATTATAGTTTTCACAGAATGTCCTGCCAACCTGGACTGGCTGATTGGATTGAAATTCGTACTGATCATGAATGGGCTAATGATCAGAAATAAATACTAGAGTCCAGAAGTTACTGATGCCCAGTGATGCTCCTAGTGCCTTATTTAAGGGCCAATTTCCATTCAAATCTAGCATTTTACATAACAGAATTAATGGAAGTACTCACTGTTGGCAGATATGTGGGGTAGACACCAGCTTCTGGATGAAGTCATTCAGCCCCATTTTTCTCTCCTTGATGAAAGCTGCAAATGGAGACAGAGGGGAACCATTTATGTCAGAGGAGATGGCAAACACAGCATCACAGACATGGACTCATTAACCACACATGATGGAAAGTTGTTTTCCATTAGAGAAGAAAATATTTGTTAGAGCTGTCAACCACAGTTTGGGAGGTGCAGACAGGTTAGAAGATGTGCATGTTATGCATAGACCATGTAATGCTGCCGGCCTGTAGGTTATGCAAGGCGTGGGTCACTCAGCAGTGACAGCCATCATAGCAATTTGATTTGATTTGATGTATTCTTTCAAGCATGTAAAAACAGTTGATATGACAACACACATAATTTTACACATAATCCAATATCAATTTGCTTATACCTAGTACATGCTTGAATGGAGTAGGAAGAAGTCAGACTTATCCAGTCCTACCCCATGACATCATCTTACCATCATTGGTTTGCAAGCAGTAAATGATTCACTTCTACCCACACAAGTATTATACTAAAAAAACACCACACCCACAATTGTCCATGTAATTAATCATTGAGCCTGTTCTTGCATATATCTTGATTGACACATACCTTTATATTTATGTTTAAACTCGTCAATTCTATTACTATTTTTTATGTCCACACTTAAATTATTCCATAGTTTTACCCCACTTATGGAAATACAAAATCTTTTTTTGGTTGTACGTATAACATGAATTATTAAATTTAACTGACCCCTTAAATTGTATCCACCTTCCCTTTCATTAAATACTTTTTGAATTCCACCAGGTAATAAATTGTTCCTGGCTTTATACATAAACACTGCAGTCTTAGATCCCACTAAATCGAAAAATTTTAACAATTTAGACAATTTCCATCCCAGATCGTTACAACAACGCAGATTTGTAGGCATTTGCATTGGCATTTTATGTAAAGAAATACCTCAAAGTTAGGTTTAATTCATCTCTTGGTAGCTGTATTGCTTATTAACAAATAAATGTAAATAACAGCCTGCGTTTATTTTGGTTTACAGACAAATACACAGCGTTGGTGATGAAAATAAGTGATCTTTTTTGTCGCTCACCGGTGAGAACGGCTACAATCCCCCTCATTTTGCAGTAAGTCAGATCGCATCCAGCTTCAGTCACAGCCATGTTATGTGAAAAAATAAATATCCAATATAAACACAAAGAAAAAACACAATATAGTTCCTCGTCTACCCGTGGCCGACCGCTGTATCTTGCCAATTGAGTAGAGGTTTACCGACCGCGCTCCGCTCTCAAATACCGCTGCTTACTGAGCGTGCTAGTTCGGGTATTTATACGAAACACGTCGTACGGAAGGAGACCACTCCCCTTTTCGTCATCCACTGTAGCCAGGGCAACTACTTGGGGGGGAGCGTGACGTCACGGAATTCCGCTGCAGCCATATTCAGTCTGCAGGGCCACATGATGGAAGTGACGAGGAGAGCACACTGCACACTGAGAAGGAGGAAGAGTAGGAGGTGTGAGGTACCCCCCACCTCCCCCACATACACCCCC